AGCAGGAGGCGTGCGGGACAGGTAGTGTGTGGTGCGGTTGTGCGTGTTTCTCGAGGCGTGTTTGTGAGTGGATGAAACGAAAGAACGAAGGTACGGCTTTATACGATACATACTGTACACTCTGTCTATGCACACACACACACACATCAGCGTCGCGCGCTCGCTTCTTTCTTGAGAGGGGCTTGTATTCGTAGAATTCTTTCTTGATTCGCCGAAATAAAGAAAATCAACTCATGCACAAATTCGCCGTTTCACCCAAGTGCAAATGACGTCTTTGGCCGTGCCTGGGCCCCGAGCTCTAGACAGCGGCTGCCCGGCCGCCCTGCCAAGCGCGTGGGCGGTGCTGGGTACGGTGGAGCCGTCAGTGAGCCTCGCTTGCCCGCCCTCCATGCCGTCGCTGCCACCACCGTCGCCTCCTCCACCGCCTTCGCCGCCGCCGCCGTTACCGCCACCGCCGCCGCCTTCGCTCTCGCCTTCCCCGTCGCCACCGCCTTCGCTCTCGCCTTCCCCGTCGCCACCGCCGCCAGTCCCGTTGCACCCTCCGCTGCAAACAACTCCGCCATGCTTTGGTTGCCTCCACCCGCTCACCGCCGGCGGCTTGCCCAAATTCCCGATTGACTGGGCCATCGGTCCTCGGGTCGACCCGAAGAGGGCCGACCCGGCCGACCTCTTCTCCGCCTCAAGTGGGTGCACCGACTGGCGGCTCGCCTCCTTTGACCGCACCGACTCCTCGCTGCTCGAGGACGGGGAGGGAGAGCTCGAGCGGGCGGACCAGGCGCTTGGCGACCCGCACTGCAATCGCCACGTTACCACGCCCCGCATTCGCTCACCCGTCGCTCCCTCGCCAACCTCCCGCGCCGCCACCCTGTCCTGCCCTGCTCTGAGCGCCATTCGCTTCTGTCGCCCACTCGCGCCTCTTCCTGCCGCGCCTGACGGACGTCGCACGCAACCGCCTGTCCACAGGCTGAGAGCGACATGGACCCGGATGGCAGCGTTTCTTGGTCCTGCCTCGTGTGTGCCCTCATGATGGGGTGCCTACTCGCGCTTCTGAGCCGGTCGGCTTGGGCCAGCAAGGCCGGACCGAACAAGTATCTACCACGCTTCGGTGGTAGTCGGCAGCACACAACTAAGGTCCGTCCTCTTACGTCCTTGCTGTTGCTCTCCTTCCTCCCGGGCTCGACTGGTAGCCCCATTAGAGAGTTCATCGATCTGTCGCCCGAGCCGTCGCCCGACCCGTCGCTCGAGCCGCCGTACCCACCTCAAATGGCACCAACTCCACCGCCGCCGCTACCGCTGCCGCCGCCGGCCTTGCCGCCGGCCTTGCCGCCTCCTCCACTGCCGCCTGTCTTCCCCGGCTTCGCTGTCGCCGCGGCGAGCGAGGACGAGCTCCGCTGCCTAATCCAAAGCGCTATTGCCGAGGTCTCAATCTACCTGCCGGCGACGCTCGACGGCAAGGAAGAGGTCAACGGGAGGGCGACGAATGGTGGCGTTGTGCACGCGAACGGCGCAGGTGAAGTCGAGATCATCGGCTCGACCGTGAGGGACTGCTCTGCTGACAATGTGCGCCGCTTAGAGCTAGCCACCCTGCAGAGCCGCACGGCAGCGGGGCGAGAGATGAACAGGGCCACGGCTGCCTCACCCCGCTCTCCTCTCGCGACCGCAGTACGGCGGCGTCTACTCGTTGAACAGCGGTGCGGTCTCGATAATCGGCTCGACTGCGCGGGACTGCTCGGCCGTCGACGTGCGCCGCGTACGGTTACGGGGCCGGGGCCTGTCAAGTCGAGAAAAGAATTCCCGGGCGCCACGGAAGGCGGTCATCGTGCACGATGCTGGCCTTCTCTCTCTCTCGTCGTCCGTGGCCCTGAATTTCTTCGGCGGCAAGAAGCCAGGCCGAGGCACGCTTTGTCGCTCACCGTTCCGGGTCCCGGGGTGAGCTGTCAGCCTGCGCGTTCCTTATGAGTTTTGTCCTCCATTCACGAGATTTCGCGCGAGCGACATGGTCGACACGACTCATGGACGTACATGGACATGCACATACGTGGCTGGGTTTCAAGTGATTTTTCTTTTAATGCTGAAGGCGGGGGAAAGAGACTGCGCAGGTTGAAGCACGCGCGCGCCGCCGACGCGGTTGACTCGATCGCCGACGGTCAGATTCTCTAGTCGGTTCATGAGAAGCATGGCGTCGCAGCTCGGCTCGTTTACGGTGAGCAACGAGCCTGATATGCCGTACATTGAACGCAGTCGGCGTGGCTGGAAGCGACCACCTTGTCCGCCCGCGTTGCCGTCTTGTAAGGGGACATCGGTCCATCGCATGATTGGCTGTCCACCGGAAACATGTCGTTCGGAGCATTGGCGCGCCTCCGTTCATAGCAAGAGAGGGTGGATCGCAGAAGCTCGTTGCCACGCTCGGCAGCGAGATATTGTAGAGCGTTATGAACGCGCATATCATCCGGCGGCGTCTCCGCTGCGTCCCGTACGAGCAGCGTGCACAGCCCGTGGAAGTCGGCAGGCTCGAAGAAGGCTCCTCCGTGGAAATGCTCGTACCCGACGCTCGAGTACGCTGGGCTGTACGCGGCGTCGGCCATCTTGACGATGGAGCACATACGTCGCTCATCAGCCGTCAGTGCTGCAAGGGGTGGGAGCGGCAGTCCGGTGTCGAGCTCATGGTACACGAAGCCGTGCAGGGCGCGCGCGCGGACGCCATCGAAGAGGTCGTACTGCGATGGGTCGCGGGCCCGATCTTTCCGACACGTGCTGCACGTATAGACGCGGCGATGTGGCCCATCTCGGTCAGTCACCTCTTCGCACATGAAGACCTGCTGCATCTCTTCTGGTAGGTTTGGATCGAGGGAGTGCTGCGTTGCGTGGCGACGAATGGCCTGCTCGAAGACTCGCCACGCGCGACAGTCGTGCGGCCCGGACGCTGGCACCACCACTGTGTCGTTGCGAGTTGGATAGTTGCACATGCCGCAGTTGTAGCACACTCGCAGGGGCTGCAGCTCGATGGCGCGCAGGTGCTCGCCGAGCTTGCGGAATGTGCGTGGATCGTTCGGAAGATTGACGCTGTCTTCTCGATCAGCACGATTCGCCTCGATCATACGACGGGCGAGAAAGTTGTGGGCGGGCGCTCGGGGTCGTATGGTTCCGGCGCCGTCACGTACGAGGGCTCTTGCTCGTTGCAACGCGTCGGCAGTGGGAATGTTTGGCAGTGGCGGCATTGGCGGCGGAGCTTCTGGCGAGGCTGGCATCGGCAGCGCTGGTGTGCGGTCGCAGGCGCACGGCAGAAACGGAGGCGGCGGTGGGACAGGTTGTTGAGGAACGATCGGACAGAATGGCTCGTTTTCAGGGACGGCGGCGAGTGAGTCGACTACGATGTAGACACGCAGCCGATCCCCCGCCGCGACGTTGAAGAGATCGACCTCTCTGGCAGTCGCGCTCGGGTCGCACCACGGCGTCACGGCAGGTTCGTGGTCAGACTGGCCGCACTCTTCGAAGAGCACGACAGAGCAGACCCGGCGGTGGAGACGCCGAGATGCGAAGACGGAAATGTCCTTTTCCCCTCGGATAGACGCGTGTCCCGCGTCACATCATCGACTGCATAGGGAGAGATGACCTGTGATCCGTCACTCGTGATGATGTGCGTCGGATCGATGCAGAGCGGCCACTCGAACGGAATAGAGATGGCGGCCTTGGTTTCGGAGATGAGAGATATGTCGGCGTATTCAGGCAGGTTGCCGCTGCCGTCGTCCGCCTCGATGAATGCGCTGCCCTCGTATGGCAGACGCATCACGGGCTTGCCCAGAAGGCTCCTGCCCATGAGGACTCGAGGCGGCAGCGCATCGGATGGAAGTTGTTTCGTCGGAAAGAAATCGTTGCAGAGGTCGGGAGGCAGGACGTGTAGCAGCCTGCTGTAGCGGTGTCGCTCGTTGTAGGGAAGTTTGTCGTATTGAAACCCGTTGTTGACCTTGACGAGAACTACGTCAGGGGTGGGGCACGGGCCATGAGATGATATGTGGTGAAGTGCAAGGGCGCGCGCCGTTAATGAGCGCTTACTTGCGAGGTCGGCTTCGACAGTCCAGTCTCGCCGGCTTTCCTTCATGCTGTGCAATCCGTTGATGAGAGCTCGGACACGCGCCTCCTCGTGCTTGGCGGTGAGCGGCATCGCCTATAACACGGCCGCGCTTTGTGAAAGTTGGCTCGTACGTAGGTCGCTTACGTATGGGTGCCTGGGCGAGCCACTCGCTCTCGCGGGCAAGCAGCACCGCGTCGTCCACACTGCAATCACCCGCGCCGTTCGGCTCGTCGTTTGCCTCCTGCTCCAGTGCACGTCGACCTTCGGAGGTGCTCACCTTCCGGATCTGAGCAATGAGGCTCGGCCGTTCGCTCGGCGGTGTATCGACCATCAGCGACATCGTGTCCGCGAACCCTTCATCGGCCTTCCTGGATCTGTTTGTGTACCGTCTTCTTCTTCTTATGGGCAAGGGGACCGTCGCTGAGGCTTGCGTTCTCGCCGGCGTCACTCAGCCACGAGAAGCATAGAGCTGACCACTTCTCCTCAGCGTTCCAGCCGCCCTTGCGCTTCTGAGACAGCAGGGGAGCGGCTCGACGGAAGAGGTCGAGTTCGGAATCCGGAGAGGCAGCCGTGCCCATCACGGCGAGCAGGAGCAGCATTGGCCTGCCCGTCGCAAGTTTGGTGGCGACACTTTTGGCCCGACCCCTGCTTCGAGGGGAGAGAGACATGCCAAACACTTTCCCAAAAGCGACGTATTCCGTATAAAATTTTCTTCGCTCCGCGAATTCACAGAGTAGGGTGGGGAGAGAGAGAGAGATTTTGTGTTGTGGGGAGTGCGCCAGCGGACCAGAGTTCTTGAGTTGGCAAGTAAAATTCTTTTGTTTCTTTAAAATCGGCGGCCTGCCGCCGCTCTCTGCCCTCTCGGCGGCCGCCACAGCGAGCACCCACCCGCAGCCCGGGGGCCACGCGGCCGGGCACCAAGCCTTCGATGGCGGCCTCGCCCGCCATCGACCTGCGAGAGCCGCTCGCGGCTCTGTTCAAGCGCGCGGGCGTCGCCGAAAGCCTCTACCGCAGGTATGAGGGGCGGCTCGCGGAGCTGGGCGTTGGCGATGCCGGCGACCTCCTCGAGGAGGTCGCTGAGAAGGGCATCGGCTCGCTCGACATCCACGACCGCCAGGCGGAGAAGCTCCGCCGAGCTCTTCTCGGCCTGCGGGGCTGGGGGGACGCAGCTGCGGTCTTGGCATCCCTCAGCGGCTTGTCGCTGGGCGACACCCCGGCTGGGGTGGCGGCTGGCGATCAGGCGGCTGGTGGCGGGGCGGCGGCTGGCGGCGAGGGCCGCGGCGGCGCGCGCCCCGAAGAGGCGGACGGCGGTGCCTGCGACGCGCAGGCCGCTGAAGGTGGGTCCGGAGGTGGGACCGAGGGATCCAGTTTGGACCCCTTGGAGCCCGCGCTGCCGGAGAGCGGCGATGGGACGATTGCCGCCGCGGGGGGGGAGGAGGAGGTCGAGGGCGGGCGGAAGGCGCCGCGGCGCCGCCGAGGGCGGCGCGGCCGTGGCGCCAGGGGTCGCGGGGGGGGGCTCGAGAAGGTGCCCGACACCGCGGCGGGTTTGGCTGCTGAGCGGCCCAACCAAGTGGAGGAGGTTTCCACCGGCGGCGCGGCGCCGGCGGAGGGGGAGGAGGGCGGCCCGCCCTCGCTCGCTGCTGATGGACCTGGACGTGCCCCATATTGGGGGCCCGCCGGCATTACCCCGCCCGAGACGCCGGTCTCGGACGCTGCCGGCGCGCCCCACCCTTTCAATCTTTTAGATGAGGCCACGGGTTCTAAGGCGGGCGAGGCGGCTGCTGAGGCGTTGGCGGAGGCGGCGGTCGACGCTGTCTACGGGGCGCTCGTAGCGGCGACGCTCGAGGAGTGGGCGGGCGCGAGCACGGACAACCCCGTCTCCGCGGAGGACGCTCGAGGCCCAGGCCTCGAGTGTCAGGATTGCTTTGAGAACTTTTACAAGGAGTACGACGTGGAGCCTTGGCTCTGGCGCCGGGCGATGCGTGAGGGCTGGTCGGAGCTGGGGGGCTGGTCGCGAGAGGAGATGGAGGCGGCGGAGGAGGAGATGCGGCGCGGCGAGGGTTCTGATGCCTATGGGCTTCAGATCTCTCAGCTAGGCGAGTGGGTCTGCGATGCTTGCTTGGAGGGCTATCTGGGGGGGGGCGTTGGCGACTACTCGGAGCTGCGCAGCGGCTACGTTGCGCCGTATCCGAGTAACCCCTGGATAGGTCGCTCGCGCGACCTCTCCTGGATGCGCAAGGGGCCCATAGGGGTCACGCGGAGGGAGGCGCTGTTAGCGGCGGAGGAGGCGAAGGCGGCCGCGCGGGCGGCGGAGAAGGCGGCGCGGGCAGCGGAGGGGGGGAAGGGCGGCGGCAGCGGGCGGCAGTCCCGCGAGGCACGCCGGCGGAAGGGTTCGTCTTCGCGGGGCGGGGTGCGCACTGCGCGCCGCGAGGATGAGGAGCCTGAGCCAGGGGAGGGTTGGGAAGGGGGGGCGAGGCCGGAGGAGTATGACGGCCTCTTCGACGGCCCATAAGGGGCCGTTGTCTGCTGTGCCTTTTGTGGTGCTAGTTCGTGCCAGTCTGCTGTGAGAGGGGCTTGTCTTCGCAGAATTCTTTTGTTTAAACATCTCGAGAGCTACCGTCGGGTCTCTATTTTAAGATGAGGTAAACAGCAATAGATCCGGCCCTCAAGCGGCCTAATCGATACCCGGCCCTCACGGAATCGGTCCCTCGTTGTACAGCAATCGATCCTTCACACTGCCCGCGCGCTGCCAAACTTGGGGTCGAGCGAATCGGTCCCCAGGTTACCTGTGGCGCGAAGCTGCGATATGTCTCCCGCCCTCGGCGCGCCGACCGCGCAGCGGCGGCAGACCACCCTCCGGTTCGAGGGGCGCCTGGGGCTGAGCGGGCTGCCTCCGCCAGAGTTTGGCTCGCCCACCGGCGGGCTGTCACCCTGCCACGGGTCGCAAGCCCTCTGCCGGCCGGAGCGCAGGCTGCGCAGGCTTCCAGCAATTGGTCCCTTGGCAAGTGCGAATCGGTCCCCCTGGCTCCAGGAACTGATCCGGCACTACACCCGGATCTATTGCTGTTTACCTCATCTTAAAATAGAGACCCGACGGTAACCCTGCGCTGCCGACAGATTCACCATTCGGCCTGGAGGGACATGCATGCGGCGGCGGGCCGCGCAGGGAGGAGGGAGCAGGTGCGGTTTGTCTCGGTCAGCCAGTTCGGCGCGGGCGCGTTCTTGAACGCGATCCCGACCCGCGCGCACTTCCGTCTGCCCTCGTACGTGCTGCGCTTCGCGCTGCAGCGCCGCTTCGGATTGCACCTGTCGATGATGACGGACGTTATGGCGGACGGCATCTACAGCCAGCACGGTCTGCCCTTTGACGCCCTCGGCGACGTGGCGCAGAACGACGGCGCGGCGGGCCACCAGACGCGGCACAAGGAGGTCCTCCTGGACCTCGTCGAGCTGCTGCGGGGCAAGCTGGGGCGCGGCGCTGTGGAGCACGAGTTTCACTGCGAGCACAGCACTACGAGGACGGACTTGTACATTTACCAGGGCGTGATTGGGGACCTGCCATGCATCGGCGACACGAAGATCTTTGCCGGTGTGCCGTCGGACCCCTCGGGGGCGGGGCGCATGGGGGCGTTCGTCGCTTGCGGCAACACGCTGCCACGCGCCCGCGAGACGGTTCTGGGCGTGGAGGGCGGGGACAGGGGTGGGAGGGTGGGACGGTGGGATCCGCGGACGGGGACCGGGACGGTTGAGGCTGTCAAGGGCCAGTACACGGACGCAGAGGGGAAGTGCCATGTGGAGGCGTTGCTCTTCGAGGAGTTCGGCGCAATGAGCGCGGGGGTGGAGGAGCTGCTGATGCGGGTGGCTGAGGTGGCGGGCCGGAAGCTCACGTGGTGGCAGTACGACCAGACGTCGTGGTCGGCGCGCGAATGGATGCCGTTTGCGCTGCAGCGACTGTCGGTGCAGCTCTGGGTGGCGCTCGCGGACGAGGCACAGCGCGCCATTGGTGCGGCGTCGCGCGACCGCGAGGGACCGCGGGGGAATGCTAGTGGGATGGGGGGCTCTGAGGGGAAGGGAGCGGGGGGCGCCCAGTAGGGCGCCGGCACCCCAGCGTAGAGGGCGTCGTGTAGCCCTCCTTTTGGTATAACAAAAAAAGAAATGCCGGAAAAGCTATGGCGAGCCAAAAACAACTTTTCGATATGCCTCGAGGCGCGGATTCACCAGACGCCGCTCAACCTCAAGCGTCAAGGGACGTGATTCGCGTGTGCTGCATTGCACGCTCGGCGCTACTACGCCGATGTACACTTTTTTGTCACACTCAGGGCCCGTTTTGCATGACCTGGCTCTACAAGCTGACTACGTGGGCGGGCGGCGCCCTCACTTCTTGTACGTGAAGCCCTGCCCCGTCCGCAGCGCCATGGCGTTGTCCGGCTGGTCCTCGTCCTCCTCGCACGCGGAAGAGTCGATCTCACACGGGTCGAACGACTTGTATGTCTTGGCCATCGCCGCGTTCCGGTACTCGGCCTTCATGCCCGCGAAGCGGAACGGCCGCGGCGAGCGCGCCTGCACCGCCGACACCCACTTGACTGCGACGGGTTGGCCCTTTGGCAGCCGCGTCTCGAGCGTCGCGAAGGGCGTCTTCTGCGAGGGATCGAGGGAGGTGGCGGCGGGCGAGTAGCCCTCCGCGTCGAAGAGCGCACCAAACACGTCCGCTGCGTTCACCTCCCGCTTGCCCTGGTTCAGCGCGGTCGCCGACACCTCGATGCACTGCCACGGCCCTCCTTTGGGCGGGATGAACATGCCCTTTGGGCAGGCGTCGAGTTCCTTGTACGACGGGTCGGTGATGAGCACCTCCACGCCACTTCCCCGCAGCGACACGGGCGCGTTCGCACTGAGCGCGCCTCCCTGCCCCAGGCCCGCGCGCACCTCGTCGTCCAGCGTCCCGCTCGGCGCGATTGCGCTGGAGCCCAGCGGGGCGCACGCGAGGGCTGCAGCGTTCGCGAGGACGGCGCGGCGGCCGCTGCTCGGCGGTGCGAGCGCCAGGCAAGCAGCGAGCATTGCCGCGAAGCAGTTTCGCGGAAAGCACCGCAAAGCCAAAAAGTATTACAAACATAAACTACCCTCGCGCAACACTGGGCACGGGACTGGCAGAAGAGAACGACGCGACAGAGGAGGAAGTGACAAGGGAGAGACCGACGAGAGTGGGACGGCCGCGAGGTGGCATGAAGGTTGCAGCGAGAAGCGGCGAGAGACTGCGAAAAGAGATACGAAGAGGCAGACTCCCCAGGGTGGGCGACGGCTAGCGCTCCACACTCCTCTCCTTAAAATCCCTGTGTGGTGGCGGCGTGCCGTTCTCCCATCCCTCCCTTGGGTTGTGTGTTTTCTTTCTTTCTTTCTAACACTGGGCACGGGACTGGCGCGCACTGGCACTAACACAGGTACACCACGGGAGCCGCCTAAGCGACTCCTGCGAGGGCGGCGAGGCACTTAGCTCCGTGCACCCGCCCGCCCCCGCCACGGGCAAGCTCATTCACAATCTGCTCTGCGATGGCCGTGTGAAGAACGACTGAGATGCGCTGCTTCTGCAGCCCCAGCCAGCTCTTGGTGGTCCAAGTCACCTCATCGAGGTACTGGGCGGCCCGCGTCAGCTTGTTCTGCAGCGTGAAAGCCAAAAAGTAAACAGAAAAAAAGAGGCCTCCGTGAAGCGCGCAAGCGCCCGCCCAGAATCCCTCCCTCGTCGCGGTGCTGCCGCCGCGGGTCTTCTTTGTGGGCTCCAACCATCAGAAAGAAGAGAGAGGACCGTGCCCCCGAGTTCATTGAAAGAAGAGAGAGGAAGGAGGGGAGGGCCACACTCCCCCACTCAAGAAGGTCCACCTGGCCGGTGCTCCGTTCTGTGTATCGCGCGCCGCGTTCCATGGAATCCCGGATGGCTCTCATTCCCATCTTACCTTATATTTCCCCGCGGCCGGTTTTCCGTTTCGCGGCGACGGCACAGGGTCTCAAAGTGATACCATGCCCCTCTCGGCAGAGCAGCAGCGCGAGCGCCGCGCAGCAAAGCGCGCTGCAGAAGAGGCAGCTGGCGTCTTCCGTCGCCGACGCGGCGGTCGTCTCGCGGCAGGGCATGTGTGGGACGAGCAGACTGGCACAGCCGTGCCGCAGGCGCCGTGCATGGTCGACGGCGAGTCAGGGGAGGAGGGTGAGAGTGTGCCTCCCACTGCTCGGCTGGCTGTGCCGCGCTCCGAGCGGCGATGGTCAGACCATCGGAATGCGGCAAAACGTGCGAGGCGTGCTGCGGCGGCGGAAGCAGCGAAGGAGGCACCTCCTCCGCCTCTCACCTCCTCCGCCTCTCACCTCCTCCGCCTCTCACCTCCTCCGCCTCTCACCTCCTCCGCCTCTCACCTCTTCCGCCTCTCACCTCCTCCGCCTCTCACCTCCTCCGCCTCCTCACTCACCTCCTCCGCCTCTCACCTCCTTCTCCTCACCTCCTCCAAGAAGGTGAGCGAGGACACCGAGAAGGTGATTGCATCGCTGCTCGATGAGCTCGTGGCCGAGGTTGCCGAGGTGGCGGAAGTTCGTGACGAGGCGGATGAGGAAGAGCTTCAGAAGGAGCTGGAGAAGCTGGTGATTGAGCGTAGCAGCTCGCCGTTGCTCGAGGACACCGGCACATGCGAGGCCGCCGAGCTCGAGCTGCGCGCAGACGGCTACGGCGCGGCACGCGGCGACGACGACGGGCCGCAGGTCTACAGCCTGCCGTTGAACGAGCTGCGGCGGCGCGTGGCCGACGGCGAGGACGCGTGGCCGGGCGAGGCGCAGATGGCGTGGGATCAGCGCGTGATGCGCGATCTATGATGTAACATACTTGACCCCCCCCCTTGGGGCCTCGTGTTTTTCGTGCCAAACCAGCGCGATCTCGGCGGGGCGTCAGCGCCTCTCGGTGGGGCATCATGAGCTCACGGGGCTGCCCGACGGGGCAGGCCTCGTGCTGATGGACCCAGCCGAGGTGCCCGACCAGTCGGAGTGGCGCTGACGCGCCGCGCGCGACCACCAGCCAGCTTTTCAGCGAGGGCGAGAACGGTGCCTCGAGAATGTAGACACTCTCCGGTCCATCCGGAATTTTGTCGTTCTAGTTAGCACTGCTGCTGCAGACAGGGCCCGCGCGACCCCTTGCCCTTCCCGGATCCAGCTCGCTGAGGCTTGGCGCCACCCCGATGACCGCCCACAGGTGGCTGATCCCGGCCGCCGCCCACGCTGCTTTTCGGCGCCTGGCTCTCAGAGGGCTCCTGCGGCTCTCCCTCGTCGCGTGACCGCCGCCGACATCATGTGCTCGGTCGTCCCCGCCGGCGCGGAGCTGCGCCACGTCGAATTCTTCGGTGGCTCGACCGCCGGCGCGCCCACTATCGCCTCCTGCGCGCCTCACACCCAGTATTCACCTCGCGCGCGACCGCCAAAGTGAGCGCACGACCACCTCCCCCTCGCTCCTGTAGGTGGGCCGCCCCGCGCTGGCGGGAAGAGGCGCGCCGAGCCATCGGTGACGTCCCGGCGAGCTCATGGGCCCCCAAAAGGTCGCACCGACCCGTGGCTCCGCCGTCGGCTCCGCCGCGAGCGGCGACGGTGAGGCCGCCGGGGCTCGCCTATACCGGCTAGTGTGGAGCTCTCAGTGTGGTTGCGTGTTGTACTAGTGATGCTGCACTAGGCGGCCCGTTTTTAGCAAAAACCAGATACCACATCGCGTGTGGTCGTCGAAAAACCGCATGTTCGCCCGTCTGGGACCTCTTCGTACGGCTCCAAAAACCGCTCCTTAACGACGACTACGCGGCCCGGCGGTCGATCTGCGCCTTCTCAGCGGTGGAGGGGATGTGGGAGGTACGTGCGGACCGCGTGGTGTTGCGACGGTTTGACGAGTGCGACTCCCAGCGTCGACTTTTCGACCCCACGGAGCCTCTGCTGCTCCGGGGGGGGGGGTCTGCAGACCACCCGGCCGAACTTCAGAGTCGCGGTGCTCCTCAAATACCGCTCAAACGCCCACGATGTTGTGCAGGGGACATATGCTGATGATCCTGGCCCGATTGGTTCGCTCAGAAAGCTTCTGCGCGGTCGTTAAGGTTCGCTCCCCGCACACCGGCCCGGAAGTATGTTACATCATAGATCGGCTTGCACGCGGCGTGCCTCTCGGCGACTACCTCGAGGAGTTGCAGCAGCTGCTGAGCGACTCACCGTGCGATTTGATTGCCACCCACGAGCTCGCGAACTATGGCAGCAACCCCACTGATTGGCGGCCACAGGGTAGAAACATTGCGCCGCCGCCACCGCCGCCACCGCCGCCGCCGCCGCCACCAGCTGCATTGCCGCCACCGCCACCTGCCAATGACCCGTGCCGCTGCACAACTTGCGGCCACATCCTACCTATTTGGAACTGCAATGCTGGATGTGAATGCTTCTATTCTGACCGGGAGGCGCTGCAGCTGCACAAGGCCTATGATTGCTCGCCAGCGTGCACACCGCGCTGGTCGCAATCACTTGGCCTGAGTGCTGAGACCGCTGGGACGCTCTCCGGCCTAGGCCTGAGACCGCTGGGACGCTTCCAACCCGTTGTGCTCTTAGTTTAAGCATAAGCTGTGCCGGCCGTGCGCCTTGTGGGCGCTCCATAGTCTGAGGGTTTCGGGTCAGGGGAGAGTGCGACTTTACCACTTTGATCGTCTCGGAGCGCCTAACTTTTAGCATTTCGTCTCAAAATTTTCTTCGGCGCTCCCGGCCGGAGGCTCCGCGCGCCGGAGGTGCAGTAAAAGTAGTAGCTATCGTCCCCGCAAAGTAGGTCCCGCACACTATGGCTAGAAAAATGCTGTGCTGCTCGCCTCGAAAGCGCCCGCCGTGTGTCCAAACATGTAGCGCTACTCCGCTACAAGTTTGTCAGGCCCTCTCAGGCAACAAGGCACATGGCTCTTGGCTGCGCCGCCGGCTGCACGCCGCTCTATTAGTGAGCGAGTATTTGGAGAGAGCGCCGACGGAGTAGAATGTCCAAAAATTTCGCAACCGCGCGACTTTTACCATTTTGCCCCGGGCGGCGGGCGGGCCCACTTTGATCGTTTTGCCCCAGGAAATCTACGCCTATAGGCGTGCTTTTAGGCATTTTGACCCAAATCGGCCGAACTTTTAGGATACCCTCAGACTACGGGGCCGTCGTGGGGCGCACCTTTTTTCCGGGGGACCCCGGGTGTGGTCTGTCTCTGTGGACCCAGCTAGTGAGACCGATGCGGGGTTGCCCCCCCCCCCCCCCCCCCGCGCCCCCCCCGCCCCTCGCCCCTGCCCCACCACTTGTTGTCGTTTGTGCGGTGTGGCGGCTGTGGGGCTAGCCTGCTGGAGAAATTTACATGTACCTTATAAACCTCTCCGAAGCCCCGAGGCAGGACTTTAGCTCTTCCGCTCTCCGCCCTCGGCCCATGCCTCTGCCTCGTCGAGCAGCCGCCCGAGCGTGTGCTTGCCCCTGTACTCGTCGAGCAGCGAATGGGCCGCCTGCAAAGCCAGACATCGGTGAGCGCACACAAAAGGAAACTACAGTGCCGAGCGGCGAGAGGGCCGCCTCGTTGCCCAAACCCGCCCCGTCCGCGGCCGCGCGCCGAAACGTGGCGTAGAACTGCACGCGCCGCTCCGGCGACGAGTTTGGCCCGCCGCAATGCAGCACGCGGCCGTCGTACAGCGCGGCCTCTCCGGCGTCAAGCAAGCCGCACGCGGCAGAGTCCGCGGAGGCCGCGACGTACCCGGGCCCCTCCTGCAAGAGAAGAGAGCAGGTGCGCCGTAGCGAGGACGGACGCGACGGACGCGGCGGCGGCGAGGCTGTGCCCGGCACGCGCCTCGTCGAAGGCGTCGTGTGAACAAGGAAGTGTCTGGGAAGTGTCTAGGGAGTGTCTAGGCAAACGCCTCGTCGAAGGCGTCGTGCGCAGCGAGGCTCTGGCTGCCGAGCCTGTCAAACAGTGGTACGAAGGTGGTACACGTCCTAGCACGGACGACGGGGCACACGCGCCACTCGCGGAGCACACACGGGGGCATTGCACACGAGGGCGGTGTGTGCGTTCTCAGCGAGAGGCGTCTCCACACAGACGACCGTGCGATTGTCAGAGGGGCGGCGGTGGGCGTCCAACCAAGGCGTGGTGCGCGGCGAGGCTGTGGCTGCCGAGCCTCCTACCCGCGCAGCCTGTCTTGCTACTGGTGTGGCAGCTAGCCGGAGAGGTGGAGATAGTCGGAGATACACCGGGGAAGGGAGGGAGGGGGGGGGGAGAGGAGTGTGTCCGCATCTATGCCGCCGAGCAGGAAGCGCGTCGGGCCCATCTCGCGAGTCACGTGCTGCAGCGCCACCGCCGTGCTGAAGAGGACCCCCTCCTGCGAGATATGGGGAGATCTGGGGAGATTTGGGGAGACATGGGGAGATGCTGAAGAGGACCCCCTCCTGCGAGATATGGGGAGATATGGGGAGATTTGGGGAGACATGGGGAGATGCTGAAGAGGACGGCTGGATCTCGGACACACCTCGGCCGCTCCCGCGGCTGCATCTCGGCTACATCTCCGCCGCTCCTCGCTGCATCTCGGCTACATCTCCGCCGCTCCTCGTCCCACAGCGTATCGGCGTGCAGCGGCTGCGGCGCGGCGCCGGGCGCAGAGACGAGCGCCGCGAGCTCCCACAGCTCCGCCTCTCGCCCGGCGGCGTCCAGCAGCGAAGACGCCACGGCCGGCGCCGACAGCAGCTCGCGGAGCCCGGCGGCGACCGGCGCCGTCACCCTCAGCCGCAAGTCCCAGCGTGTGATGGCGGCCGCGGCACTGGCCGATGCCGTGAGCACCGACGAGAGCGGCCCAGCCCCGGCCTCGCATGCACGCGCCGCCTCGAGCTGCGTCAGCACCTCTGCACGCAGCGCCGCGGCGGTCGCCGCGCCAAGCGCAGGGCCGACGCACACCACGCCGTCGTCGCGGAGCGCGGCGGCGGCGGCAGCAGGAGCGGTCCTCCGCACGAGCGGAGCGGCACTGCCCAGTGTCGACTCCTCCTCCCACGCGCGGGCAGCCAAGCTCTCCTCGTCGTCCTCCTCCTCGACGTCCTCGATCACCCACGACGCCTCGTCGAGCGTTGACCAGCCGTCGCAGCAGTAGGGCCGACGGAGAGGCGGCGCCGCAGAGGTCAGCCGCGGTGCGCGAAGCGCGTACGCGCAGCCGCTGCACAGGAGTGAGAGCATTGCACAGGTGAGACCTCGGGAGCGGCCGGCGCATACACACACGAGCCTAGGCCGAGTTGGGCAAAAGAATTTCGAAACCTCATGAACGGGACTGGCGCACTGGCACGAACACAGGTAAAAATAAAGAAAAAAGTCTGGCGCACAGCACGCCGCCACCACACAGGGATTTTGAAGAGGAGTGTGGTGGTGCTAAAGAAAGAAAGAAAACACACAAGCCAAGGAGGGATGGTGGTGCTAGCCGCGCTTGCGTTCTTTCTTCTTTTCGGCTCATCGCTCTACCTGCCGATATCCCACTCGCACGAGTAGCCCCGGCCGGTGTGATGCTGCTGAGCGCTTCCGGACTCGCACGGGGCGCCCGCCGGAGCATCGTCATCCCGGCGCTTCGGGCCTCCAAGCTCAGCGAGGTCCCGTCGTGCGTCGCGGCGGCGCGGGTGAAGCTCGAAGAGAGGCGGGCGCTGCTTGGGTCAGCTCACCCGTCGACGCTTACGGCAATCCAGACGCTCGCCTGCCTCCTCGAGCGGGAAGGGTGCGAGACCCTCCTCTCCGAAGCTAGGGCGCTCGAGACAGAGGCGAAGGAGAGCTTCCGGGCGCTGTCGCGCTCGTGAAGATTTGTCTCATGGCTGCCCGCGGGCATTCTGTACGCTTGCTGCGATGGCCCTTAGCCTCGCACCCCTTGTACCTTTGTGAACCCTTGTGTGTCCGTCTTGTTCTTGCCGCCTAAACTGCGGCGTGTGCCCAAGAGCACGGCTGCGGCACTGTTGCCCTAGCTGTCCCTGTCGTGCGCAGCCTTGTCATTCTTGTGATCTGTGATCTGTGAGGGTCCGCCCGCAGGCGCATTTTGTATACCGAGGCGGTGCCCGGTGCCGAACCTGTCGGAATTCTTGTGAGTAGTAGCGTGTCCGTGATGTGCGAAGTGGAGTGGCAGTGGCCTAATACCGTGGGCAGTGAGCTCGGTACACCGTGAAGCGTGATCCGTGTACAGACTCACTACGGGACCGAGGAGTGTTGTGCGCTGCCGCTGCCAGCAAGTACAGGTTTCGATCCGGGCCACCGCAAATTTTGATCAGCAAATTTCGAGGGGCGGCCGCAAATTTTGAGGTAGATTTTGATTGTCAAAAACACGTCCGTCTTGCCGCAGGAGATAGACATAGAGCATATAGGCGCCGTAACCCTTTCGCGCGCGTTTTTCTTTTTTGTCCAGAGAGTAGAGCTGTCAAACGTTAACTTTGGGCCTAACAGTTGCACTATTGTTGGCTGAAAATCCTCAACGTTGTTCAAGTGTTCTCCCCAGCCCAAGCTGTTACTGTTTGTTACTGTTGTTACTGTTGTTCAGTGGTCAGCAAGCAGAAAATGCAAAAAACCCCGGGTAAAACCCGAAAATACCTGGGGTTTTCCAGGTATTTCGGGTATTACCCGCACTGGACGCTGGAGATCGTCGTGGGTCACTGCCAGGCCTTCCTTATTGTTGTTCAGCTGGCCTAACGTTAGCTACTGTTGTTGGGGAGCCCCACTGTTGTTCTGTTGTTACTGTTAACACTAGCAACACTGTTCAGCTCTTAACGTTTGACAGCTCTACCAGAGAGGCGGTATTTTAAGATCTTCTTTTTGGCGGCGGCGCGGCGGTGACAACCATCTGTGTTTCCGAGGCGGACCCGGTGTCCGGCGCCGAGCTTTTAGGTGTGAGAGCGGACTCCGGGGGCAGCCTAACCGCTGTACGCCCCGCCCGCCGCTGGCTCACTGCGCACTCACTACTCGCTTAGCACCCCGCGCGGCGACGAACGCCCGGCGCAACACGCCCCCACGAGCGTCCGTCCGGGGGGCGCAGGCTGGTCACCAGCCGGTGTCGCCGCCGATGACCACGTCACCCTCCGGCACCATCTCCCGGCTGACGGTGTTTGGCACGACAGCGGCCGTCATCGGGAACTCGACGGGCGCCTAGAAGCAGAATACGCCAACCTCAGGGCACGAATACGGTATTGTGCAGCGTTTTCAGAGCACGGCGTGAATACAAAGGAGAGGAGTACAGTGAATACAGCGGACTACGGGTCAATACAGCTGAATACGTGGCCCTCTCGGGCGCTAGTGGGGAGCTAAGAATACGTATTTCTGCTTCTAGGGACGGGCGCGGTGTTGAGGATGCGGACGACGTTGCCCGAGCCGGGCGTCTCGATGACGCAGAAGAAGGGCCGGTCGAAGCCGTCCTCCGTGTACAGCTCGATCACCTGCTTGTTGTTGTTGGGGCCCTGCGGAGAGGGAAAGGGCGGCGGTGAGGAGAGAGGTGGGAGTGGGAGGCGGAGAGAGGCTGTGCGGTGGGGAGGGAAGCTGTGGTGAGGAGAGAGGCAGCGGTTGCGGAGAGCGGCGGCGGCGGTGGCGAGAGAGGCGGCCGTCCGAGGAGACGCAACGCGCAGGGGTTGGTGCCTGCAACAGCTCGATCCGTGCGTTGAGCGGCCGCCCGTCCGTCTTGAGCAGGACCTGCACGCTGTCGATGGTTGGGTCGAAGGGGTAGGTGCGGAGGGCGCCGCCCTGGATGATCATCGAGGCGGTGGCGCACTCGGGCGACGGCTCGTCCACATTCTCGCATGCTACCAGCGCGGAGAGGGGAAACTCGATCTCGCCGATGTTGCGGATGCTGACAGTGTTTGGGCCGCGGGGCGTCTCGACGACGGCGCTGAAGGGGCGGAGCTGGCCATCCTCGATGTAGACGCGCATCTTGCACGGCGTGTTGTCCGGACCCTGCCACAGCTCGATGTCCGCGTCGAGTGGCCGGCCCTCAGTGCTGAGCACCACCTGCACCTGGTCGACATTCTGCGAGCGAAACGACCAGGTGCGGAGCGAGCCGCCCTGGACGAGGATCGCGTGCTCGACGTCGTCGGAGCTCTGCATTGCACTGCGCGTCGCGGCTGGGCCAGCTGCAGCGACCGGCGTCGGCAGCGCAAAGTCCTCGGGCGCCGTCTGCATCAGCACCGCCGTCGTCCGGAGCGCCGGCGCGGTGCCAAGCATGAGGCCGGAGGCGGCGCCGGCGGAGCCGGCGAGCAGCACGGCGAGTCGCGACCTGCGGAGGGCGTGCGGAGGGGGAAGGAGAGCTGGTGAGGAATGGACAGGTGGAGCGACCGTTAAAGTTGACGGCGGCGAGGTGCAGGTGGGCGCGACCGTTGCGCGCACATAGCTGCCGCTGCGGCTGAGTGAGCTCGGTGATGAATAAAAAAGAATTTTATGCCTCGAGCAGGGCAGTGGTCGCGTCGCCCATGTCAGGACCAACACCCCGAACGGCGAAGACGGAATATACTCCGTGCCGGCACGATGTCTTTCGAAATAACGTCGTGGGGGTTGTCGGTATAGGTGTATTGTTGGCAAATAAAGACACAGAGCTCACACAGAATCACAGCGGGAGGAAAGCGGCGAGTCGCAATTCCTGGGGTCCTTGTGGCGGGCCACCCTGTCCAGAGAGGCATAGTCCTGGCCGCTCCCGGTTGTGGCAGAGGTTATAGAACCAAGCGACGGAGATGGTGCGGGGGTACGGGTGTTCCAGGGGGTCACGACACGCACCGACCCTTCACGAACCGAAAGGCTGTGCCCGGGGAAGGCACAGTAATCCGGGCACGTGTTGGGCGCCCCATTCCGTTTAGGGCTAGGTCGGCTCAGGGCCCCGTCCACTTCCCTCTCGCCTGGCGCGTGATGATGAGGAGATGCAACCCAGGCCAGCCAGGACAGGGGCGGAGGGCGA